ATAAATTTCAATAAAGCTGTTATAAAAAACAAACAGTGGTGAAGAATACTGAGGGATCTTGTGAGGGACCCAGGTTCAGTTCCCAACAGCTACATGGTAGCTCACAACCACCTGCTGACACCAGTTCTAGGGAACTTGATGCTCTCCTCTGGGCTCCATAGTCACCTGCATACACATGCTACACATTCACACAAGTAGGCTTGAGTGCTCTCTCTCTCTCTCTCTCTCTCTCTCTCTCTCTCTCTCTCACACACACACACACACCCACACACACAGAATGTGAGAGAGATACACACAGACATACACACACTCACACATATACACACACTTTTTTATCAAGCTGAAAGATGGAGGGTCAACTCAGCAATAAAAAGGAATGATCAACAGATATCTGTAACAGAACAGAAATAAATCCCCATTCTAACACCACAGGAAAGACAAAAACAGATTACAGTTGCCTGGGTTGAAGGTGGGGAAAGAAATGAGTATGAGTGGATATCTGCAGTAAGAAAATGTCCTCAAGCTGGATTGCAGTGATTGTAATGCAATGATGAGTCCATTAAAAACTATCAAACTGTACATTTATAGTGGTGGGATTGACATGTAAATCTGGCCTAGACTTCTGTAAAAGTTGTGAGAAACAAAAGATTTGGAGTGCGGGGATGTGTCTCAGCAGGGGAGAACTTGCCTAGCATGTGTTGAGACTCTGGGTTTAATCTTCAGCATCTCCAAGTGAAAATATTAAATAAATGGGAATCTTTCCCACACTGTGGCCAGAACAATAAAGAGTGAATACAATCACTCTAGGAAACTGACAATGTCTAAGCAAAACTAAATAGCAGAAGATGTGGCCTGGCATTTAGACAACAGACCATGTCTATAAGGTCACTAAGAAGCATGCCCAAGACTTCCATTCTCACTGAAACTTAGAACTAGGTCGTGCCATCCTGTATTCAGTAAGTACATTCTGGACTAGTCACACATGGAATACAGTCCTCAGAATGAACTGAAGAGGGCTAGTCACATGACTCCACAGACACACAAGGGCAGCGCCACTCTCTGGCAGTGGTTACCAGGGGAATCCACATCAAAGGGGTGTGTGGATGTTAGCTCCTTGATCTGAATGCTCATTACTCAGGTGTAGTCCGAGTAATCAACCTGTGCTCATGTTACATGCATATTTCTCCAGATGTCACAATTGTATTTCCAGTGTGTTCAGGGCTACTGTCCAAAAACTTTGGACTTCAAATTGAAGAAATCTGTGGGATGGCAAGTTCAAGGAGGGGCTTTCCAGGCTCCTGGTCTCTGTGCTCACAAATCTCCTCCCAGAAACACACTAGCTAGGGAAGAGCCACTTACACTGCAGGAGAGGCTATGTCCTCTCTCTTCTCTGTGAGGAAGGCTCTAGACCTGAGGTTTACATTCTCACTTCTCCTTTATGGGGTGGCCTAGTACATGCCCTTCATTTTTAGACCCGTCTTGTCTTCCTCTGTCTATGGCTAGTATGCAGCAGGAGAGAAGGCCGTGGACAAGGAGACAGCTAGACTAACATGCAAAAGAAGCCAGCTGGCAGAAGACTGGAGATCCTCCCCACCAGAGCCACACAGGAGAGGACAGAACATGTAAAAAGAAGACATTTCTGAGTGAGGGAGACAGGTGCTAGGGAAACGACATAAAGGGGTCAGTCAGGACATGGGGCCAACACTTTTGGCTCTCCGTGTTGTTCCCTCTCTCTAGCCCACTTCCATTCCAAGAGTGCCTTTTTCTTCTTAAGAAACAGTCTCCATATCCACCATTCTCCCTGTGGCCTGGTCCAGTGCTTTGTTCTATAAGAACCCGTAAGCTTCCACAGGTGCTCATGGGCTCACACCCATTCCTATGACAAGTCTTCCCACAGGTGCCCATGGGCTCACACCCATTCCTATGACAAGTCTTCCCACAGGTGCTCATGGGCTCACACCCATTCCTATGACAAGTGTTCCCACAAGTGCCCATGGGCTCACACCCATTCCTATGACAAGTCTTCCCACAGGTGCCCATGGGCTCACACTCATTCCTATGACAAGTCTTCCCACAGGTGCCCATGGGCTCACACCCATTCCTATGACAAGTCTTCCCACAGGTGCTCATGAGCTCACACCCATTCCTATGACAAGTGTTCCCACAAGTGCCCATGGGCTCACACCCATTCCTATGACAAGTGTTCCCACAGGTGCCCATGGGCTCACACCCATTCCTATGACAAGTCTTCCCACAGGTGCCCATGGGCTCACACCCATTCCTATGACAAGTGTTCCCACAGGTGCCCATGGGCTCACACCCATTCCTATGACAAGTCTTCCCATAGGTGCCCATGGGCTCACACCCATTCCTATGACAAGTCTTCCCACAGGTGCTCATGGGCTCACACCCATTCCTATGACAAGTCTTCCCACAGGTGCCCATGGGCTCACACCCATTCCTATGACAAGTCTTCCCACAGGTGCCCATGGACTCACACCCATGCCTGACAGTGTTTCCACAGGTGCTCATGGGCTCACACCCATGCCTGACAGTGTTTCCACAGGTGCTCATAGACTCACACCCATGCCTACAAGTGTTCCCACAGGTGCCCCATGGAATCACACCCACGCCTATGACAGTGTTTCCACAGGTGCCCCATGCCTAGAACAAGTGTTTTATACATGTTCAGTAATCAAACAAAATACAGGAAAGGGAATGATTTCAGTTTTTTATAATGCTGAAAATCTAACCAGCATTGCAGAGTACGTGCACGCATGCCCTCTCCCCCCTCCCTTTCTCCTTATGATCCATCTAGAAATATCATACACCCTTTTGATAATTACACATTGTAAGAGTTAACAATGGACATGATCTTCACTAAGCTTTGGAGAATGAGGAACTGACTAACCACATCCCACATTAAAGGCTTGGGCCACATTCAGCAGAGGGCTCTGTCCACTTTGACACTTAAATGAAGGAAGACTGCCATCCTCTAACTTTCTAAGGACAGATGCCACATATTCTCTCTGCATGGCTCATCTGCCACTCACTCAGCCTAGTTTCCAGGGAAGAGCTTTGTTAATGTCATGTTTTCAGCCTTCCTGAACTAGCAGACTTGTGTGTTCCTCTGGAACCAGATTTCACATCCCTTGTATGACCCCCGCACAGACTTCTCACAATGACAGAGGTCTCCTTTCCCAAAGTTCTCTTGGGAAAAAGCCTTCAAGTTCAGTTATTTTTAGCTAAGTTTAAAAGTTTAGCCCAAGTGAGGATTATTTTAATACCAATCCAACCCTCATAGGCTTGTGAGCATCTTAATTGTTCTGCTATTGACAGGAAATCAGCTAGATTTGAATCTGAAGCTGAAGCCTTTCGTGAGCATGTCTGGCCAGATCAGTGTCCTACATAAAACCACAGACAGGTAAGTCAGATCTCTACCCATTCCTGCTCCACATCCTACACCCTGTGCTGAGGACTGAATGCTCTACCACACTTTGCATCCTGCCATTCCCTGACGCCTTCTTTCAGCTCCTTTGTAGGTTCAGAAGCTTGGGAAACAAGCTTCTTCTTCTTATTATTATTAAAGTACAGTTGATTGGACTATAATCTCATTCCTCTGAACCTAAAAAACCAATGTGCTAATAAAGGGAGTGTGGACATGCTTGGAACAAACCCCCCACCTCACTTACCACACCATACACAACACAGCCTACACTTCCTGTTGACAAAGCATGTGAATTTTTCCTAAGACACCCAAATACACAACTCCAAAGGAAGAGAGTACTTGGTTGGGAAAGAATTGTGTCATCACACGAAGGCAAAAATTTTTGTCCCCATTCCTCCCAGGACTATAGCTTTGACCAGACATATTTCTCCACATGTTTCTGAAGAAACAACTCACAATTATTAGTGATTAAAAAAAAATGAGGCTAAAAGAGTCTTGGGAGAGGAACTCATGTTCACTTCACATGAGAAAGCAGAAACAGATGTAAGACACTAACACACATATTTAGCAGATACTGGAACTAGACTCTTCAATGGCTTCTGGGAGGCATTCAAAGCCAAGTCGCACCCCTGCTTAGCATGGACATGAGAAAGACTGCTTGCTGCATGCAAGTACTTCACAGATGCTAGTGTTTCTGCTCAGAGACAATTAGTGACACCAACAGAGAAATGCCTAAAAGGTAGGACAGGGCTGAGGATGTGTCAGTTAGTAGAGCCCTTCAACCTAACAAGTACAAATCCTTGGCTTCCATATCCAGCACTGTATAAACTGAAGGGCATAGCAGTTCATGCTTATATTCTCAGCCCTTAGGAGGCAGAGGGAGGAATATCAGGGGTTCAAGGTCATCTCTGCCTGCATAGCAGACTTGAGACCAGCCCGAGCTACCTGAGGCCCTGCCTCAAGAAACAACAACAATAAAACATGCAAGTAAGACATGAGTTTGATTAAACAAGAGTTTCATTTAGACATTACTAATTAATGTCAAAGTAAAAATAGAGGATGACTGATCTATTCCTGCTAGTCAAGGGGCAATTTTAAACAATCTAACCAAAATTATTCACACATCATTTCTATTTATTGTCTAGACAAATTTCTTTTTGCAGAGAAACATATGCTCTTAACACCAAGTCCCAATTCTTGGCTGACTTTGAACTGTATGTGTACATGTGCATGGGTGTGCATGTGGATGTGTGTGTGCACATGTAGATGCTAACATCAGGTATCTCCCTCAATTTTAGTCTAACTTATTTTTCTCACTGAACCTGGAGCTCATTGGTTGGTAATACTTGCTGGTCAATGAGCTCTGGGCATTCTATATGTCTTTCTACTCCATGTCCACTCCCAGGTGTAGGTCATAGGTGCATGGTACTAAGCCTGGCTTTTATGTAGATCTGAGGATCCAAATTCATATCTTCATTCCCTTTACAATTTAAAAATCATTTATGATGAGAAACTTTCCTCCTTCAGTCTAGAGGACTCAATTAAAATTTACCTTTAGAGGCTTCTGTTCCTAGTGGGTTGTCCAGGAAGTCACCGAGGTCATGGTTCCAGGCATCTCGGACAGCAGACTTTGACACCACTCTGTCATTCAGTTCTTGCTGTGGTCGGAAGTTGTTTCTCAGGTACTCTACTGACTTGACATGGTCTTGCTGCTCCGTGGTGAAGATAGAATAAAAAGCCTCAAGCTGAACAAAGAACCAGAGAGAGGAGGAGGGAATCTCAATTAGATTCAAAGGCTATAGGGTGATCAGAACACAAAATGGCAGGGAATGGTCAGGCCCAGGCTGATCTCCTAGTAGTAGGTTGCCTTCTGGAATGACACCAGTGGCTCTGCTCATTGGGGCCATTCTCAGCTGAGGGAAGAATGGGGCTCGCAGACCCGTAGACCTCAGGCTTCCTGCAAGTCTCTCAGCAATACTTTTAGTACAATGGGGAAGAACACAGACTTACAGTGAGTCCTGGAGGTAAACTGCCTAGATATGAAATACAGGCCCTGAACACAAGCCTTCCCCTGACCCTCTGAGCCTCTAAACTCCTTCCATAAATGGTGGTAATCATAATAGTGTTTACCTGGTAAGGTCTGAGCAACAGGACTAATGACCAAGCACTTCATCCATGTATATCATTCAAAGTAAACATTAACTGCTCAAGAAATAGTAGTAATTTAATTGTTATAAACAAGCCTCTGTGGATATAATACACACCAAATTCAGCCCAGTCAGGAAGATGCTCAGTGCTAACTGTGTGGTAAGTTCAATTGCCCAGTTTTAAATTTAGCAGATGGCTGGCTAGTCACAGACAAATGACTCAAACCTCTAAAAAGGCAAGATTCCCTATCAGTGAAATGCCTATAAATGTAGGGTCCTGAAAAGATGGATTCTCCATGGGTCGACCAGCTGCCGTCATGGTCACTATGAAGAAATATCCTCCACAAGAACACTGAGGAAAGTTCTTAAGAAAAAAAAAAAAAAACAGCATCCCACAATCATACCCTGACCATCAGGATGGATTCTTTGTAGCCCTCAGCATTGCATCATTAAGAAAGGTCATTCTTCTGTGTGTAAGGATGGAGCATTGACTGGCTGTCACAATTGCTCTCATCAGACCACAAAGATAATCGTGTCACCAAAGAAAGGGCAGAGGGCTAGAAGCTGTTGCAGGCTTCAGGGAGCTAGATAGCTGGCCATCAATACTTTTATGTAAAAACTTTTAAAATTATTAAGACTATCTAGATTTTTACAGATTGTGAGTTGGACTTCATCTGCAAGCCTGAACCTAATACTCAGTTCAGAGAATGACCCAGAAAATATCCAGCTGCTGACATCTTGAGGCTTCCTTCCTTTTCAGGAGAAAGTGATGCAGTTCCAGAGAAAATCCAGCCAAGCAATACCTTTCACTAGACTATTGATGCTGTGAAGACATTACCATTGAGCTGGAAACTATTAAAGGGGCTAAAAGTCCCCAGGCCCAGTGATGCCACTAGCTTGACAGGATATATTTGTGTGTGTGTGATATATATATATATATATATATATATATATATATATATATATATATATATAGAGAGAGAGAGAGAGAGAGAGAGAGAGAACTCACAAGTTTCTGATTTTCTCAGAGGAAATGACTTCCTAAAATTTTATGAGAGGAATTAACAAAGACCTGCTGGAGATAGTCAAGGTGAAGAATCAAAATGATTAAAAGATTAGAGAATAAATCCTGTGAGGAAAAGGGAAAGGCCATAGGAAGAATTATTCAACGTGAAGAAAGGGTGAGGGATGCCCGATTTGATTAAAGGTCCTTGTAGAAGATGCTGACCAGCAGCTCCCCATGTTCAGTGAAGGCCGAATACCAGTAGCTTAAGCAAAAGCCATAGAGATGTGAATTGAAGAATGAAAGGGATCTCTCGGCATTCAGGGTGGGGGTTTGCTCTTTTGTTTTTAACATGGGCTGGGCTGTCACACCAAAGTCAGAAAGGAAGTCCTCTGGAAGAGACAGCCGTCTGGCTAGAGAGCTTTATGCTTTGAGGAGACAAAGAGAAGAACCTGGGATACATTCAGCAATACAGCACCACACCCTGTTTATTCTCTAGATACATGCATCCTCCTTGGTTCTAAAAAGTTTACATCTGAAGCCTCAGGAAAGAATTAGTCACATAACTGTAAGAAGAGGCAGGTTGTGAATTAAACACAAAACTGCCTTCCTTTAAATTGCTCTCACAGCTTAATGACACTCTATGGCTTAAAAGCTCAAGATGCCTCCTTGTCATTAACTAAACTGCCTGGCAGACTTTGAGGGAAGGATGTGATGGTTTTGAGTGAACTGATGACCTGAATGATATTATATTGTCAACTGGATCATAGCTTCCCTTGACAGCCACACAAAAGGGTTCACATGGGAGGACAGGCTTAGCAGGCTTATCAAATGCCTTTAGGTATGTTGGCAGCATTCGTTAAATGCTGTCAATCCTCTAAAAGGAATGGAAATTGCCAGTGGCCATCCTTTTGGTAATGACCACAGTTGGTGACAGAGTAGAAACCTCCCTGATTGCTGGACTAGGGAAAAGTCTGCATGCTTTGTTTTGCCAGTAGAGCAGTAAATCACCTGGGTCAGAAAGCTACTGACCTTCACATATATTTTAGGTTGTTCAAGGAAAGCCAAAAGGCTAGAAGGGAGGAAGCTGTAAGATGTGACAGCCTCTAGTAATACTAATGCCACAGGAGCAATCAGACAGACCTCTGACCAGTGTTCATTGCTTGATGCTTGATTTGTTGGAAACTTCCATATCTGGTTAGAACTGACACACTGGGGCTCTGGAGAGATGACTCAGCAGTTATGACACTGGCTACCCTTAAAGACCACCCAGGTGTAGATCCCAGCACCCACATGCAAGCTCATGACCATCTACAATCAAGTTCCATGGGATATAATACTATCTTCTACCCTCCATGAGCACTAGGCATGCATGAGGTGTATACACATACACACAAGCAAAACATTCACACACATAAAATAAAAATAAATCTTCAATAAAACAATTGTACACTCCATCATGCTACAGCTCTGGTTGTATACCACCTCAATCTCCTGTTCTTGATGATCTGGTCTCCAACTTTAAAGCTCCCACTCTTAATACTTGAGTCTAAACTTCTGTTTTCCTAGCCTACTTGACAAAGCTGTGGCCATCTTACTTGTCCCTCATATTTCTCTGTGTGTTATGTGTATGTAGGTAAACGTGGAGGGCTGCAGTTGATGTCAGGTGCCTTCTTAGACCTCCCTCCACTTCACTTTGTGAGAAGGCATCTCTCTCTCTAACCCTGAGGTCACCATTTCAGCACCAGTGCTCAGTGATCCCATCTGCCCAGTGAGGGATTACAGGCTTGTCCTGTCCTATCTGGCTTCTTAAGAGGTGACTGGGGGATTCAAATCAGATCCTCATGCTTTCCAGTATTCGAAGAATGAACTGTCTTCTTAGCTCCCCACCCATCCTGTGCTTCTGAGATTTGCAGTACAACAGGGAAAACGATGCTACCTACTTTTTGTGCCTTTTCTAACTCTTTAATGAGCTGCTATATATTAAGTATTTGAAATAGTTCCTGACACAAGGAAGTACTCAATAAATATTGTTATCACTACAATTATTTTTATTTTATGAAGACTGCAGCTAATGGTGATTGTATTCTATGATTACAACAACAAATTATAGCATACCTGCTCTTTCCTCCTTCTCTTTAGCACTAATTTTTATCAAACTTACTTTATACTGGGCAGTTCATCAAACACCAGAACACATTGTTTTACATCTTATTTTCAACCTAAAAGAACAGCATTAATACTGTTAGGAGGTATGGCTGTGTTAGAGAAGTTGCATCACTTTGGGTGGGCAATAAGGTTTCAAAAGGCCATGCCAGGCTCAAGGAATGTCTCCATCTTTCTCTCTCAGGCTCGGGTTTGTGGATAAGGTGTAAGCCCTCAGCCAATACTTCAATGCCATGCTTGTCTGCCTGATGCTATGCTCCCCACCATGATGATCATGGACTAAGCCTCTGAAACTGTAAGAAACCCCCCAGTTCAGTGCTTTCTTTCTACGAGTTGCCTTAGTCATGGTACCTAAGGCAAACACTGACCCCCACAGCTAAGACTTAGCAAGCTCTTATGCTATGCAAGCACCATACAAAAAGTAGCATGCACAAGAGAGGTCTTGGGATGTTAGGGCCATTGTTCATGTTAGCAGTCATTGTTGCTGACACCAATTAGGAAACTGGTCCTTGAGACATTAAATAACTTGCCCAAGTCACCAAGAAACCAAAGGGTGAAGTAAGGACTGGAACCCCACGTTCAAGTGATTCATTTTCTCTCAACCACACCATGTCATGTCAACAGGCCCAAAGAATGACTCAGGGAACGAGAAGCCAACAGTGGAGGAACCTAGTGTGGTGACAGGTTGTCCCCAGTAATGCCTATTAGCTAAGGCCAAAGCCAATTCAGGTAGGGAACCTATCATTTCTTTGTCCTCTTTTGTGTTCTGAAAGGAAACCACATATAGCCAACAGGGTGGCATGAACAAGATGGCAGCCAAGAGGGAAAATGCCCTCCAGTTCCCAAAGTCCTTCCCACTATTCACCTGAGCTATTTCCAGGAGGAGGTAATAAACACATTTGGAAAATTTTAAAACTCTAATGTAACTAATGAAGTCTTTATCATTTAGTAAAAATAAATGAAAATTTTTATTTCTATAATATCAAATTGACTTTTTAACTTTTGAAGAGAGTGTGTAAAATACTTCTTTCTTTTATTCCTGCTTGGGGAGCTGTAATTGCATTTTAACTGGTGCTGTTACAAGAACAATTTTAACCTTGAATCACAAATGTGTTGGCTGGAAGAATATATAAGTCATTTCAACTTAGTTTTTATTATAAAAGTATTTCAGAGAATAATTAGTTTTTAATCTGTCATTTTGCATCAAAGGAAAGCTGAAATCTATTCATGCCATGTGTGTGTAGCCAGGGCTCTTTGGTCCACAAGATGTGGGGAGGGCACCGCTGAGGCTGAAGGGGAGAGATCAGTGAAAATAAAAAGAAATAGAATTAGGAGCTATTAAACACTGGCATGAGCAGTACTTTAAGGGGTGGGTATCCAGTAGCAATTCAAAAGAACCAAGTCCATTCTTAACTCAGCTCAAATGGAG